AGTCTCTTAATTTTACGAGACGTATCTTCTTCCCTACTGGTCTCTGTCTCATTGGCTTCTGCTTCATATGGGGTTCATCTGCTTCATCAGGAAATGTCCTATCGTCGATAACAGTCACATCAGTGGCAGTAACTTCATCAAGAGTTTCACTGTTTCCCTTCTCAAAACTGAGTAGAGTTTCTTCTTCAACAGTGGCTTTTTCATGTGACACTTCTTCAGCAGCGTCATTTGTTCCTTTGTTCACTTCGTCCCAACTGAAATGTCCTGGACCGTGATAACGCCAAAGCCTGTTGGCATGCGCCACTTTTGGCTTACCTCGCCGACCACATTTGATTCGGAAAGTCACGTCTGAGAGACGATCCACTATGTCATATGGGCCTTCCCATGGAAAAGACAACTTAGGAGACTTCCCTTTGGTCTTCCTGGGATTATACAACCACACCTTGTCTCCTGGTTCAAAGCTGACTTCAGTAGATCTCTTATCATAAGATAGTTTCATCGAATCAGCAGACGTTTTCAAGTTTGAACGCACTTGATGGTGAATATCATCCATTCTTTCCGATAACACTTTCACAAACTCTGACACATTCTCAGGCAACTCTTCATAAGGTGAGCGTCCTTTGTACTTGGGTCCCCTTTTAGCACTCCATGTACTGCATGTTCTGCACCATTCTTCCACATCTCGCCTCATACCTATCCAGCAAAATCTTTGTCGTAGGTGACTCAATGTTTTCTTAATTCCGAGATGTCCTCCTGTTAAATTATCATGGGATTGACGCAGCATAACTTCCCGTAACTTCTTCGGTATAACTGTTTGCCAAGTCATCACTTCCCATCTGTAGTTTCTCATCTCCGTACAAGAATACCATCTTCAAGCTTTAACTGGTCCCATTGCGCCCAATAGTGCTTTTTCACAGGGCTTAGACTAAACACCTTCTCCCAAGCAGGGCGCGAAACACTTGCTTTTAAAAAATCAACTATTTGCTTCAAATCTTGATCTTTCTCCTGCTCTGCTTTAATATCTATACCTGGTTCCACTTCGTCATCATCAACTGCTTCAGTCACTTTGACTTCACCTTGATGGCACCTAATTAGTTCAACCTCTCTTTTAACAGTTACCGGAACTTGGTCTTTGTTATTCCCAAACGTCATTTTATCAAAATCAATTACAAACTTCCTTGGTAGTAGATAGTCCAATCCTAATATGCATTCGTCTTCAATGTCAA